CAACTCAGTTCTAATACCTGCAGCAAATATGAGCCAAAGCTGCGTGTTTCTGCTGCGATAAAAGCAAAATCAAACTCTTATAATGTAAGGAGTTCTAAAACAAAAAAACTGATAACAATAAACTAAACAAAATGTTCAGGTTTGCAGAACTTTGGTTTCTCTGGTCCCACTTTGCCCTTCTCCTCACTGTGAACGTACCTGAGACTCAGGCTCTGAAGTTCTCCCAGAGCTCTTCCCTCATTGGCTGGCCCTAATGTGCTTCCCAGTGTCCATCTTCATTAAGTGGTTTTTGTGCAGCACTATCGCTGTCATTAGCCCACAGGAAGCAGTGGCTGCTGAGCAGGATGTCATAGTGAATTATCATTTACACAGACCGCAGGAGCTGAATGGCTCCATAGCCAGCTCACTCAGCTCTCTGCACGGGTAGAGGCAGGCTGACAAAAGCTGAAACTGAAAGTTAATGGATGGTTTGAAAAAAGATTAAGTGGAGGTTTGGCTCACTTAATAAGGTCCAAGAACTCGTTAAAGGGGTGCGTTTAGTTTTGTCCTAAAATAATCTTGTTTTAATAAATGACAGAATTGTAGATGTTTTTGTCAAAGTTTGAAAATAATGTCAGTCTGGTGCTATGTGATGTCTTGTGCTCAGTGTGTGTCGGAGTTGACTCAGCTACAACCACGCAAAATTTTACCTCAGTGTGTAAAATGAATGYATTATAACTGTTTTTGTCTTTTTCAAAGGGCCAATATTATGTGTTTCTCAGGCATAGGTTTAAATACTATACCATAGTAAAGTATTAATGTCAACTTTAGTTGTTATCAAAATACTGTTTTTATGTTTAAATAGAAAATAAACTTATCTTCTCATCACTTCCTCTTCCAAACGCCTTGAAATTGGCCTCTGGCTCTTAAAGAACCACCTTCCGCTTCTGTCTCCCATTTCAGGGCCTACTATGATGCAGTTTACTTGGCATCTAAAAATACATTTCCTCAAATGTAATTTTAATCTGAAAAGAGCTTCACTGAGTGACAACTAATGTTAGGAGCTCAGAAGACAGTTTAAGTTTCACTTTTGGTTTTTCACCCGAGAGCCTGCAGGAGACATGGGCGGGGTGTGTGGGGAGGTGTGTGGGGTGCTCTGCAATGAGTAAGTTCAGCTTAAAGACATGTCCCAGATGCATTTCTGGTACCAAAAGGCGTTTCTGGTCCCCACCTGTCGTTTTGCTCCTCAGCATGGCTTCCTAAAAACACTGCAGGATTTCTCAAACATGCATGAATGAGTCAGAGCAAGGCTTTGGACATGTTTTTTATGAGAGTATAACATGATATAAAACCCAAAAAAGTTGATTTTACATGATATTGCCCCTTTAAGGTCAGTTGGCTATGAGGCTACCTTGAATTGAGTTGAATTGAGTGTAGATGTATACCCAGTGAATATTTCCTGAAAATTCCATCCAGTGGTTCATGAAATATTTTGCTAACAAAYGGACAGAGTTCACTCTAATAATTTTTGTAAGAGTTACAAAGGAAGTTATTATATTTTGGGCTGATTAATATAAAAGAAATGTGGTTGTTTAAACAGTGGTTGTTCACATTTATGAGCCAAATTATTATTTACATATTTACAAGTTTAAAATATGTTCAACAGCATGGTTAAAATAGTTTTAAATAAGCTGATTCTGCTTTTGTGTTTCACTTATTTTGTTTACCTTACAGCTAGCTTCTGATTGGTTGATTTGGGACATGTGATGTGAAGACAGGAAGTGTTGTGGTAAAGTGTAAAAAGTGTGGAGATCTGAAGAACTGTCAATAAAGCCATCTGTTTGCATCCTGCTTATATTTTACATCCGGAGTGATCCATCCACCACAGAACGAACCCTCACATTACATTATTAACTAAGTTTTAAAAAAGAGAATCTTAGCTCCGCTAACACTAAACCGCTAAATGGATAAAAATTAGTGAAAGTTAATGTTATCCGCTAACATGTTGTTAAATCTAGTGTCAAAGTCACTTACTTGGCAACACTGTCAACTATCTGTCAGGCTGTCACCAGTCTTCATCTCCTTCCAGTTGAAAACGTGATGCAAACCTGTTGTTAGTTTTTTTATTGGTTTATTTGAAGATGGGATCATTTGTGGCAAATMGGCCATGCAAACCAGAGTTTTCTATTGCTTGTTTAGGGGTTTTTGTATTTTTTTAATTAGTTTTTAAAAAATGTTCAGCGTTATTTTGTCTGCTCTTAGTTTGAAGTTTTGATGCTGCTACGCACACAGTGCCTGTCACCTCCAGTACTGATTGCAAGAGTTGATAGTTTTTGGGATGAATGCCATAAAATTTGTTTAACTCTTGTGAACTTTTTAGTGGACTTAAAACTAACGGAACCTAATTTAGCAGAAATTGGTCCACTCACTGGGCCTCATGCAAGAACATGTTCGTATTCTTATCCTAAATTTCTCTTACTTTTGTTCGTATGAAGGGTTCGTACGAACATGTAACGTCAGATTCAACAAACTCTTCTATCTTCAGGAAAAGTTTGTAAATGAGCTGCGTAAATTCCACCTGTTCGTATCCAGCTGCTCGTGCACGTGAGAGGAGATTAGCATAATTACCACCCCAAAAACACCAAATAAGGCTATGTTTCCTGCCTCAGATACAAGTGTTCATTCATGAAAAATGACAG